GCTTGTGGAGACTTTGAAACTGTTCTCTTAGATCTTCCAACTCGCTCTCTCGCCCCTTGAACTTGAGGAAACATGTTTGACCTTGTGTTTTTCTGTCTTTGCTGCACTGACATAGAGTGTTCAATAGCGATCTCACATCGGTCGATGGCGCCACACCTTTGCCACCCCGCTTGGCCTTCTTGGCAGCAGGTGCATCGACCCTCCCATCATCATGGTCGCTGCTGGAGTCGCTAAGCTCAGTGATTGGCGCCAAATACGAGGCTTGAGACATGCAAGCTAGTCTTGGGAGGAAAAGCAACGGAAGACATCGGAAGACTATGGATTGGGTGAATCCTTTTGGGCTTGCTCAACTCTAGGTCAACAGACAAGGTTCCCTTCATGTGTTCCAACGATCCCAAAAAGATTCTTTCAATTCGAGGGCCGGGCTGAATTGAAGCGGAGGATCATCTAACCTCCATGCAACATTCGAATTGGCAGTGGCGTGGTTCAACGATTAAATGTCAGCCGTTCGACCTCTTGGCACGTGCCCATATTTTTGATGGCTTGGTCCAAAGGGAACTGGATTTGCTTATGGGTATGGGTTGAAACTTGAAACTAAATCCAGCGCAATTCCCAAAAAATCAAGACAGCACAAGGTGTCCAATAGACTGGTCACATTGAGACTGAGGGGGGGGAACCGCACCAACAGTTGCAACGCTGCTGCTGCCTGTGCAGGAACAACAATGTTACCACAAGCATGGACTCGCTCGTCCCAGCTATCCTCTTCCTCCTTTTGATGCAAGAGCCACTGTGCTAAGGGCTTCTTGCAATGAATGTTCCACTCAGATTGCATCAAAGCTCCCAGCGGTTTGAGTTTCAAAGCCTGCGCAAAGTATGAAACAAGTTCACCTAGCTAACAACAGAAAAACACAACTGCATAATGTTTCATTTCCCAATCATGATTGTTGATGTTTCTGCCTGGAATGGGTCGAATCCCGGCTTGGTCGCAATGAAGAACACTCGCTCGCGGTGACACTAGCGGTAACGTGTCATTCAATCTGGATCTTGGAAGTGGGAAACATTGGATTGATGGTTCTTTTCCCGACAACAGGCTTAAGCTGTATTGAAGCTAGCAAACATTCAAGGTGTTGCAAGTCCAAACCCAAGCTTGCCAGGCAGACTGCGAGACCGACGTTGCTCAGCTTCAAGGAGGCCCACTTGAGTTCGAGGTTTCGAGATAGACACTCCTGGAGGGTGAGCTCGGGCAGCTAGGGTTGGTTGAAGGAACTATGACAGTCCTTGCAAATGAAGTGAAAAAGTTCCCGCTGCTTGCTCTCTAGGATAGCGCCAACATTTTCCAAATATAAGAGTTTCCTCAGCTAGTCCCAACTTTGGAGGATTGTATTGTTCCTTTACCCCGAGGACGTGACGCAGGATCGCCCAGCTCATCAAACAAGCGGAATGTGTGGACAATCAAGTTGGACCGAACATCCATAAGTCCTTTGCCGTAGCCTGCATTGCTAACCCCCTGGCACGAAGAGTGGCAGGAGACTATTGAGAGAAACATGCGGCGCACCTGTCCCATTGGTAAGTTCCGGTATAGAAGCGTCTTCTTTTTTTTGTTCAGAGGGCATCACGGGTCCAACCAATTACGAATTGTTCAAAGACTTCCAATTTATTGTGGGTGCACTGCGACATTCACTGTAAAGCTTGGCTGCACTGCACCGGTGCTGGTGCTGCTGCTGGCACGCTGGCACCCATGATCATGCTTTAAAAAGGTTAGGTCATTGCCCAATCCTGCAAAGCTTGGAACATCACACTCAGAATGACCCAGGCGTCCACGGTGAAACCTCACACGCGCCTTCACACAAAGAACCAAGAGCTGCTCACTGTCCAAAGGTGTCCACTGGCTTTGGTACCCGAAAGTGGCAGCGTTGTCCACGTCAAACAAAGCCTCTACCATTTGCTCTTTCCTCATGCCGGCGGTGGGCACCAAAAATTCAGTGCATAGTTCTGCAAGGACAGACTTCCGGAAGTCGCTAAATCCTGGGAGGAAGTAGGACTTACGCTTGCAGCTGCGCTCTGGAATCTTGTCGGACGAGGCTTTCCCGACAGCCATTCTTGTCTTCTATTGGGAGGAGACAACAGTTCCTAGCAAAACAAGTGGGATCTTGAGCAACAAGCCCGCGGGTTACACACGTCCCGCGCAAATGAACTGAATTGAACTGAAGACTTCACTTCCCCGTAAAAACATGAGACAACCCAGAACCCCAACTCTCGGGCCAGCCTGGCAGGGGAAGCCTCCGCCAACACCCTCAGCTCCACTATTCTGCACATCTGGTCCTTTCAGTGTGCATACGTCATTGTGAACTTTGCATGCTGGAAGAAGGTTCTCTGCTTGGCGTTGCAACAGAACCTTTCGGCAGTACTCATTGCACTCCACCTCAGACCCAAAATGGAACACTTTTGCAATCAACATGTGATGCAAGCAGTTTGCAAGCAGTTCTTGCTTCAAGTTCCAGGGACGTGGCCATCATGACTGGGTAAATGATCCTGAGAACAAAGAGTATCACAACAGAAACATGATCGAGTCTTATGTTGCCTGAGCCATGCGCTCGCCCAGTCCCAGTTCTAGCCCTCCAACACCGGTAAAAAGGCTCAGCACAGGAACCTTGTTCTCCTGCCAAACTGTGGGCACTTATGAGAAAGTACTCACCAACAATTTCCTGTGACTCCTTGTGGTGGAGGTTTGGAAACTGCTTCTCGAACATGTCTTTGCACACTGCGTTGGGCTTTGTCGACGTCCATCCCCTTGGGAGGCCTGCAAGGGGACGAGGGCCACCACATGACACTCAAACCGATCTTGTTGGGGGCCGAACCGGAAAGATATTCGCAGACTTCAGCCGAAAGAAAACTGCCAGGTGTTTCCTTTGGGCCGATGGATTCTTTGTAATCCTGCGAGAAACGAATGATGTTGGCGAGGTCCTCAGCCATGTGTGAGAGTTGGAGCCACCAAGAAACTTGAATCAGCCTGGTCTTAGCCCCACGCAGCAATGCCTCTGTTGGTAACAGCAGACTGTGTTACCCGGCTGGTCGCCCCGTAGCATCCTTGCAGAACACCCAAACTGCTTCCAACTTCAGAGTGGAAAGAAAATTGAGGAGCGGGCTCAGTGCCGGCCAGCTTTTGAATACTCGCTTGCCATAGAACAGGCCCGACTTTTTTTTGTCGGCCTTGTCCTTGCAGATCTTCGAGTTCGCTTTGTTCTCAGACACCTGCATCCAAGAACTCAAGGATAAAGCAAAAGAAAGAACAGAAAGAAGACTGAGTTGCAAACCACCACCAGAGATAACTTTTGGCAGATCGGGAGCTTGGCCTGCAAAATCACAAAGTTTGAAAGCCAACATGTCACTGTTTTGAAGCCTGCATCTCCATCATCTCCAAGCAGGTAGCTTTGGTAGATGTCGTCACTAGCGTCGCCATTCGTGGTACCGTGCCCTCGCAACACAAGATGACTGTTTGGTGGCACACCCTTGTACTGCATCTAATATACAAAATGTTACAACATGAAAAAACAGATATACCCACCTGGAAATCTTTCTTGATGAACTTTTTGGTAAATCTGGTCACAATGGCACTTGAAGAAGATACCTGACTAATAATCACCGCACACTTACAACCTTGGGCTCTCTAAGTTTGGTGCGGAAGCTTGAGAAAACGTTGGTTCTCCAGTCTCTGACCTGGGAGGCCCATGCATCGCCGGCCGTACTGGCACGATGATGTTCAATGAGATTGAGGCAAGGACTCTGAATCGCTCAGCTGTTCGACCGGAGGCAAAGAGGACATCGAATCTATGTCAGACCCAACCGTTGAAGACTGAAGACCTAACTTTCCTGCCCAAAACACCTGCGATGAAAAACATGTTCCAACGCAGCCGTTGTTTCACAGTTGGTTGCAGCATTGTTTAAAGCATCAGTCACAGTTTGAACCGCTCTGTTTACTTTGGTCCACGGAGCAAATTGGTAGTCCAATCTGTATGGGCTTTGACTTGGCTGTGAATTACCAGTCTGAAGCCAGACTGGCACTATTTTGAATTATTAATTTGAATCCATACTCTAAACATCTTCAGAGAAAAATGTGGCGCTCATCCTCCGCAGTTTCTTGGGCGGTGAGTTTGGGACTGGTTCAAGATCTTGGGGGAAGAGATCTATATCCAGTGGAAGAGTGTCAGGGGCTTCATTCTCCAATTCCCGAGGTGGGGTGATCTCTGGGGCTAGACGTTCTCGCTTCTGCTCTTCCAGCGATTCCAGCTTGTTCTCAGTCTCATCAGCCAAGACCATTCCTGAAATTTCCAACTCCTGCAGACTGTGGGATGAGACTAGCAAATTCTCTAGCAGGAAATGTGTGTGGCCATTAAGATCAAGTCTATCCCTCCTCGATGCCGAATAACTTGCCTCTGGCTATCATGATTTGAGATCTCAGCCAAACCACTTCAGGGTCTTCAATCCCTCGAAGTTCCATCTCACCTTGAGGTGATCGAAAAAGAAGTGTGGGACTTGCACCACCCTTATATAGAAAAATCTAAGATCCAAACGCCAGACCAATCTCCATGGCCTGGAAGGGTTTTAGATAGTATAAAGAAAGGGTCATCCCAAACATATTACTAAGTCTCTAGCTCTCTTCGATAACGCCGGTAAATCCATTGCCACGACTGACGCGCCATCGGTGCCAGGCTGAATGAGCCGCCCACTGCTGCAGCTGAAGCGGCTGCTTCCCTTTCCCATCCATTCCCTGCCCATTCCCATTTCTGTCGATACCTGACCTGGTTTGAAAGTCTGACCCAGTTAGGGTGAAAACGTTTTTATTGTTTAAAAGGTTTGTTTTATTTGGACATGGCGAACTCTCCATTCCACCTGTTTTGGTGGAAAAAGCTCGCCTTCAGACGATTTTGGGGCTCCGGCTGCCCGTCGTTTCCGACCGGGGGGCTCTCCCGCTCCAATGGCGCCTCCGCCGCGACGGCCAGGCGAGTGGACGCCATTAGCTCGGTCTCCGGTGGCTCCTGGGCCACGTGCCTCGGACCGAGCGGGTCACTGGTGCGGACCGCGGCCGGCCGGTAGCGGTCAGGGGGTCTCCCTGAAACTGGGGGTGTGAAGTCTGGAGACCCCATCAATGATGGGGGGGCCTGGCATTTTTTGTGGCCTGTTGTACTTGTGTGTTCAACATGTTTTCACAAATGGTGCCTGTGTTCTCCCTGTGTTTTGTGTGTGTGTGTGTGTGTTTTTTTTTGTTTTTTAGTGGCTAATGAGAAGGTGTAGGTGTAGGACTGGGATGAAGCTGGGCAAGCTGGGCGGGTTTAAACAGAGCGTTGGACAACTTCGGAAGATGTAGGGTGAAGAATGGGAAACACATGGAAACACACGGGTAGAGGAAAGCAGGCCTCCCAAGAAAGCTTTCCCAGGAGTGTTGAAGAGAGGAGAGGCATGTGGTTTACAATGGTTTACAAAAGACACCTGGAAGCTGCCACTTGAAACCGGGGTGGGTGGCGGACCAGTTTCGATTGATGTTGCTCGTTCTGTGAGGGTTCTTGTTCAGCCCGTCAGAGCAGCAGCTAGTACAGCCAGTGATCCAGGGTGTTGGCGGGTGAATGCTGGAACTGATGCTGGGGGGGTGAATGCTGGGGAGCTCCTACAGTGTGGAACTCTTCCCATCAAATTCATGCAACTTGTCCCGTAGGAGCTTTCAACTGATGACTCATAGGGGTTTCGACTATAGGGGTTCCACAGACTATCGGGGTTTCTCTTTAGCAAATTGTCCCATAGGCCCATACAGGTTTTGACTATCGACTGATGACTCATGATGGCTCAAGTATGCTTTGTTTGGGCGATGACTCCTGGTATATACCTATAGAAGTAGACAACCTCCTGTTTGGCAAGAGGAGTCATTGCTCATGACCTGCGGTTGAAATCCACGGATTGGCGGGTGATCTCGCGCTTCGCTTCGATGTTCTCGCTGCGTTCGGTTCGGGCACCACCGTGACCTCTCCCGGCGGTTCAGACGTACACCGGCCGATCCCGGAGTCCCGAAGGGTGCCCAGGGTCGCTTGGGGAAACCACCGGAAGGGCATGCGCAGAAGGCAGGCATGGCGCAGAATGCATGCAGTGTGGGAGTGATCTCAGGAGTCACCTGATCAGGTGAAGGTGATGTGATGTTATCACGACTGTGAAGGCACCGGAGATGTGTAGGTGTTTTTTTTTTATCCATGGCATACGGGTGACCTGGATATCAAGTGAGTAGAGCAGGATGGAAGAGTAGTAAGGGCAAGGGATTCTCAATGATCCAATGAATGAATTGCCATGTCTCGTTCTTGTTGCCCCTTCAGTCGGGCAGTCGGGCTTGTTTATGGAGTTCTATTTGTCCTATGTCGATACATGTCGATACCCATGTGGCCCATATGTAGCAGCCGGGCTGACTGACTGCTGACCTCTTGACCATGCGTCAGTCTTAAGGGATGCAACTGAAAACACCGCTTCCAGACAGGCCGTGACAGCTCGTCAAGTGCAGCTGGTTCATGTGTTCTGTCATTAGGTTGGAGTCCGTGCCCTATCAATTGATTTGAGGGTGCTATAGTGTCTAGTGCTGGCAGGCTGGGTGCTTGACAGTCCGTCGCCCTCCCAACCCAGACTGGGGGTCTCCGGAACCCAGCAAAACAGAGCCAAACAGGGCCAATTCGAGTCGTCCACTGCCAATGGCAGGCGGCTTCGCAAGGCAACGCCCAAGTGGACAGTCACAATTTCGTTCGTTTAATCGTGCCAGCCTGCAGCCCTTTTTGCATGGTACCTCCTTCGAAGGATGTCACGTAAGGATGTCAGCCCAGGGGCCTTTTGGGGGCAGAGCTGCTTGCAGATCAGACGGCCGCATGGACTCAGCCGAGATGATGTACATGAGACGCGCTAAGCCCTTGGATTTACGAGACGCGCTTGGCGCCCTAGCATGCGCGTGCATGCTGTGTTCCCTTCCCAGTGGGGTTTGATGATTTGATGCATTTTGATGCTGTCGCTCCCTTCTCGTCAGTTTGGGCTGCCTGGGTGAAAGCACGCGCATGTTGACAGAATGCATCTTGGTGTGTTGGCCTCCGGTTAAGACATGTCCGAAAGAGATTGTGGTAAGCTGGAGCGGAAACAAGAAGTACAAGCCAACAAAAAGGTTACACCGCTACGCCTATATACGTGTTTTCTGGTTTTTTGTGGCCACCTTGTTTTGGTCACCTTACCTTGATTTGCTTGTTGCGCAGTTTTTGTTGTTGTGCTTGGGCTCGGTGCATGGGCACTAGAAGAGCGTGCCTAAATAAATATATATATGCAAGTTATTGTGACCCCCGTTCCAAACACTTTTGAATCTCTTCGGGGGCCCGACGCAGTTCTGCAGATTGCTTGCTGTTTGGAGCGGCAAGCACTGTTGGCCGCAGCTGTTCAGTGGAGCCGTTGCATGTCATCGCCCTCCCCCACCGACTCAGCCGACCCCTGTGTTGTTTCCGGAAGCAAAAAACAACATGATAGGGTTGAACTGGCAGTCAGTTGCGTTCTGCTTTAGCAGCGAACCTTCTGATTTTAGGATGTTGGAATTATATAACTGTGGTGTTTCCAATGTTTTTCCTGTACATTGCTTCCTGCAATGATATCACGCAACGTGGGTCAAAGTGGCGTTGAAGGCCTCCAGGTCAACAGCCGCCATTTTGTGTGTGGGAGGTCTTGCACATGGTTTGCAATCATAACGTGCACATGACCGCCCGCTAGTCCGAGATCCCTTTGGTGCACGTGTCATGGATGCGCTCTCGACCAATGCGCGACCATTTCTATTATGTTCTATTTGTGTTCATGGTGTGGTCCGTTTCAAGTTGGATTTGATGAAATGATGCTGGTTCTTCATTCTTGCGTATTCGTTGCCCGGGAGAGACCGCAGATGGCTGTGTGACCACTTTGTGTCATCCTTGTTTTGTGACACCCTTTTTTTTGTGTTTTGGCCCGCGGTCATTGTGTCAGCCTTTTTGATTCGGCACGCAACATCACGCAACCAGAGATGGTGGGCAGCTTTGGTTTCTGTTCGGAAACATATCAATTTCCACGGTGTCCGGCGGTGGTTGGAAGAGCGTGTTCAACACTGGCCGCCAGCCACTGTCCATCCCTTGTCAATTGCCACTACCCTCCGGGCCCAGTCGAAACTGAGAATGAAAAATAATGAAGCCATGAAAGGTGAAAACGTTGTTTTGTGATACCTTCCTTCACATAATATGGAGTCACCAATATTAAGAACTGGGTCAATTGGATCTGTTTGTTTTTTGTCCTGTAAGGGTTTTGCAGGTTCAACTCTGCACCTTTCGGAAAAGAACACGGGATTTGTGACCATTGAAGTAAGTGATTTGATTGTACATGCTTTTGTTCAGCGATTTCTGACACCTTCGTTTTTCCAGTTTCCAGCCATGGCGCGACGTCAGTCGTCATGGGCTGTTGGGTGATTGAAAAAACGCTCGTTTTCGGAGCCCGGCGCCGTGTTGGTTTCCGCCCGCGAGGTCGGTCTATATGTTTTCCACTCTGAAGGCCGGAGCGCGGTGAACGAACATCGGATGAACAGCGGTGGAGCACGTGGTCGCCAGAATGCGCCAGACAGGAACCGTGCGGTTCGGTGTGAAAAGGAGAACTGGCATGAAGAAGAACATGGGGTGAACTACTAAGGATTGTTTCTATAATAACTCTATGTGAACTATATGAACTCTTTCTACAAATAGGATCAAATAGGTGACTTACTATAAGGATTGTTTCGGCCTACCGGTAGGTGGTGAACTAGATCACGAACGCGATGTGTGCCAGAGGAGGGTGATGGGATTCTTTGCTTTGAAAAAGACATTGACATCCAGTCGTGCCGAACCTCAGGTACGGTGATTGGAGACTATTTATGTAGGCGCCAGGAGGGCCCAAGTACCTTCTGAGAAGGTATGTGGATCCCTAGGGATGTATATATATAATAATATCAGAATCAAACATCAAACTGGACTGGACTGCCCGGTGTGGATTCCTCATAGATGTTTTTCTTGCCTCCTTGGGATGGGAGCGAAAGCACAAAACCAGCCTTCACATCTACGCGCGACGAAAGAACAGGCTCAGGGAGATAAGGGATGTCCAGCAGAGGTTGAAGAACCCTATAGGCTATCCTATAGGTACCCCAGTAGGGTCCTATAAGGTCACTTAACCTCTGTTGGGTCATTGAGCCATGACTTCACCGTTGACTGATCCTCCATTCTCCAAACCCGCCGCCTCCCGGGGCCTGAAGAAGGCGTCCTTCTCCGCCTTCTTCTCACTTCGCCGTCGGGCACCACTCCGTCCACTCCACGCGGCACCGGAGGTGAGTTACTTGCTGGGCCAAGCCACACAGCCCGAAGAGCTCACCATGGACTTCTTAGAGAAGACCAACTCGGCTCTGGGCACGGTGGGCGCCGTGGGCACCTCAGTGCCTTGGGCGACACCTGGCGCGCTTCACTGCTGCGCAGCGCCAACCAACGCGGGAACTCGACACGGGCTGGGTGCGGTTTTGGTCCGAGGTTCTGGGCCGCTTTCGAGCTGTACTTGTGGCGCTTATGGTGGTTGTGGTGGTGGTTGTGGTCGCGGCTAAGACTATTTATATACACGCATTCAATGCTTTTGTAGGGTTTATCTCCCGACTCGGACCGTGGAACTGGAGCCTTCCCAAAACATTACAGGTGTATCATCGCCCCTCGATGAAATTCAGTACAATTCAGGGATTATGATGTAACATGTCGAACCATTTTGCAGAGACATAGCCGCTGGTGGCACGTTAATATACAACTGAGTATGATGTTTTTTTTATGCTTGTAACTTGTAAGATCAGAGTTTATACATGTGGCAAAGCGTTTTGTAGAGAGTTGAATGGGACTTAATGATTTTGTAGATGAATGAACACCATGCCCCAAATCAGAGAGGTTCAACTTTGGGATGCGTACATTTTGTAGGACTTGTCCTTTACAAATCTTTACAATACTAAGTCAGCAGGGATTTATGTTGTTCAGGTCGGGCTGACTCAGCATGTTTGTTTTGTTTTCTTATTTTTCTGTGGTTTGGTTGGATACATACTCAACCCGAAACAGGTTCATACAAATACTACATCGACAGTATCCAGTTTCTTCATGTTGCTTCATCAAGATGACCGGAGGATACCGGAGGAGCCTGGTGTTTGTTCAGAGGTTTGCGTTTTCACGCGCGGGTTTGAATACCAGAGAGTGACATGTCAGAGATACACGACAGTTTCCCAGCCTGGTGATTGCAAAATCTGAGAGTGACAGCATGTTTTCAGTTGTAGTTTCTGATCAAGTTTGTACGAAAGAAGTCAATGGAGAATCAATGAAACCATATTAATATTGAGCCCTGCGTGACTGGAACTCCGTATCAATGAGTGGCTGTGTGACTGTAGGATGAGTTTGTAGAAATGTGTTTTGTACAGTAACATGTTGCTTGCGCCTTTATGCGTGGACCTAATGTAGGATTGGAATTGAACATGTGTAAGACAGTGTTTTTTTCCAACACTGGTTCTTCATGATGCTTTGTAGAGAGTTTTTTGTTTAGTTTTCCTGCCAAGATACATATTCTTTTTTGGGGGGGTGCTCCATTACCTGTAACAGCCGGCTGGTAAACAATTGTCACTATTTTAGAGAAAAGACCTTCACTAACCATCATCATCCACTGTTGCAGGGAATAGAATATATTCAATATATGTTGTACAATGATACGCTTTTTTTGACACGTTGACAATGACAACTGATTCTGTAGCATGTCTTTTTTCATTACTGTATGTTTCCCTAAATGGGGGGTGTGGCAGTGGAACAAGAATAACATTTATGTCAAATAGATAACGCATGTTCCAGGCATGCCATTTTGTATTTCAATGGTGGTACGCCCAATTCTATAGAGACGATGTTCCTACAAATTGCCACACCCACCATGACCATGCTAATTGTTGTAACGAGGATATGTTTTCCTTGTTCTTCTCTATACTTACTGTATATGATTCTTTTTACAGGTTCACAAAGGTCCTCGATAGTTTTTCCGTCATTGTTCCAACATCCTTACCTACTTGAGACTATACTCAGTTCAGTCCCAGTGTGCCATGCGTCATCTCAGATGCTGATTGCAGGCCATTGCAGGAAAGTTGATCAGTGACGGCATCGAGTTCCAGATGCTTTCCAGCAAGATGACTTTACCTTGAGTGACCCAGATTCAAAACATGAAGGAAGTGGCCTATGACTGGGTTGTTGTGTTTTTTTCCCGAGTGAAAACCCTCATGTATTTTTGGCTGACTTTGCCCAACTATTTCTAAGCCGGAGCAAACGTGTTGTTTTCAATCGGAAAGGCATGTATTTCAATCCTCCTGGCAAGAGCCAATCAAGGTTTACCATGCTTTGATGCCCTGAACTTTGGAAGGAATGCCATCCAAACATCACCTCTTCGTAGGGCTTTTCCGGAACCTGCAAAAACTCCATTGAACCTCTACTCAGCTCAAAAACCTCAGTGATGCCGGCCCCTGAGGGAATTGTGGGTCAATACGATCTCGAAGGCGGGGTTGAGGACTGACGGAGACTGAACGAACGTCATCAACGGTTGAGGACTGGCGAAAGCAAAGAAAGCAAAGCCCACAATGAAAGTGACAATAAGAAATTGATAAGAAACATATTGAAATTTACATTAACACAAGCAGATATGAGCCAGCGCGACTATATATATATTTTATGTTTGTTTCCTCAGCCAATGGGTTTCTCAAGGAGAAATTGCATCCAAAATGATTCCTATCCTTTAGTCCGTCCTCCATTACTGGACATGACCCGGAGGCCATCCTGGAACCCTTTGGCCTACATGACCTGGACAGCTACATGGCCTCCGACCATTGGGCCGTGGAAGACATCAGGCGCAGCGGCCCGGCCGGGGCCCGGGGGGGGCCGGGGGTCCAGGGTCGTAGCTTTGTTTTCCCCATCGTCATCCGCATGACCTGGACTGTTACTTGGAGGTAATTAAACAGGAGGTCCGTGAAACAGGATCTTTCTGGGAAGTTCGGACCTGAATGAACTCTTCAGAATGAGAAGCATGTTTGTGCACATAATGGATCATCATGGTGTTTTAGGGTTTGATGCTCATGTTTTTCTTTTATTTTTCTCTTTCTGGAGCGCATCCTCGTTCTTGCATGGAGGGTGTTTGGCTTTCGAAGGCTACCGGCTAGACCGAAGGCTGTCAGAAGGTCCAAAAACAACATGTTTGGCTTTCGTTTGCAACACGAAGCGCAACAATGAACCTCACCTCACCAGGTTCACAGGTTCATGCAGGCAACATTAAGAAAAGCTGTTCAGGAACCTTAGAGTTTGCAAGGAACCTTGGAGCACGATCTTGCTGTTGTTTCCCATGAGCTGTAACATCAGCAACAGTAAACCCATGCTGTTGTTAAAACCCATGCTTCCCATGGATAGATTTGTTGCTAACAGCAGCAACAGTCAATAAACGAGTATCAATGATTGTCACTATGTTTGAGAAAGGCCTGCAATCTAACCATCATCATCTCACGAGGTCCCCACCACTTCAGTGAGGCAAGGTTGCCAGTGTTTGCTCTTATGTTTGTTTCATGTGTTGGGTGTATATATATGACATACATCACATGACAAACACATTGAAATGATGTCTTGTATGTCTTTGAACAGTCACCTGTCTAGACCCATGTGCTTGAAGCGTCGCTTCAGCCGCCGGAAACCCCGGTCGCCGGTCCGAGGCGCCGGAACCCCGAGCTCCGCGCCGCGCGCTTCCTGACGCCCGCGCCGGGGAGGCCCAGGGTCTTTGCGCCTCGGCAGCCTTTGCGTCGACACATGCGATGGTGAGGGTGATGTGTTGGTGTTTGTGGGAGTTAAATGCCTGTTCCGGGTGATATGTTCTTTCCGGTTCCTCCAAGAAATCCAAGTTCAGAGGGTGGCCAAGAGTGGTCTGAGAGATGAAGATATACTGTCTATATATATATATATTTGTGTACATATGTGTGTCAACTCCTGTCTCTAAGGAGCTCTGAGACATGTGTGTAGTTTCGCAGGGGGCTCACGGGTCTGTTCCTGGCGTGAGCCAACGAAGCCCCAGGTTCAGACTAGGATATCGAGAGAGGACGCTCTTTCGACATATATATATATATATGGTACCCCCCCCCCCAAATGTCCATATTTTTTAAAATTTTACTGGTATTTGCAGGGATTGTGGGGGTACCATATATGTATATATATAATCCTAAAATCCTAAGATTTCAGCACTAGTCGGAAATGGCGGACGTAAACTTTCCAGTACTTAGAGAATTCCTGAAAATTTTGAAATATTTAAAATTTTCTCAGAAGTAAGAAGCAAGAAGTAAGATTCTCTAGGAGAGTTCTGTGCAATCTTACTTCTTACTTCTGAGAATTCTCTAAGTATTGAAGTCTTCACCGTTTCTGAAGCAGCCGGTTAATCTCAAAGGCATTTTTGCATCCAAAAACCGGCTTCATGGCATTCCATGTGTCTGGGGAAGTCACGGTCTCCAATGACAAGGCGAACCTGGTCCTTAATTTGAAGGACCCAGTGACATACCTGCTCGACATGAAAGCCTTGTGGGATCGCATTAGCACCGGAGAAATTGGTGTGCATCCCACTCGGCAACCGTTGGACAGAACCACTTTGGGAACTTTGATTCACAATATTCAGCGGTCTGCCGACTTGAAGCCTACTGGCCTCAAGGGAGCATGGAACCCAAAAGCTGAAGACACCCTCATCCGCATCTTGGCGTCTCCGAAACGCTGCTGTGGAGGGGGACAAGCATCAGCACTTGCATTGCCTCCTGTTCATCCACAAACACCTCAACAAGCACCTCAACTCATCTAAAAAAGTGTTTTTGTCGTCTTTGCATGGTTTTCACTCAACCTCCCATAAATAGACCGCATCGCATGCCTAAGGCCATCTGCAATCAACATCATTCTGGCTCTTCTTCTACGTCTTCCTCGGAGTCATCTTCCGATTCTTCGGGGACTGGGACGGCGGAGGATGCAGAGATCAAGGGTGGTGTGGCTGATGATGAGGATGTGAAGGGTGAGGAGTCTGAGGGTGAGGAGTCTGAGATGGAAGATGTTGAGGATGAGGTGGGTGCGTGTGTGGAAGTCAAGGGTGGCGATGCGAACCAGGAGGATTCCGTCTCAGGGGAGACTATGCAAGGGGACTGGCTCGAAGCAGCTGTCTTCAAGCATCCAAAGTTCAAGCATCAGATGTCCTTTGACTTTGATGACCTTGGTCAGTCTCTGCAGAGGCTTGAAAAACATTGTGATGATATCGAGCAGCAGTTGCAGGAGAAGAAGGCAGAGATTGAACAGAAAGATCGCATGATTGCTCATTTGTCCGCCCAGGTAGCCCAGTTGCAGGGTGCAAAGTGAGAGGCACTGTCTGTAGGTCTTCACTGCTGCATTGTCTTCCTGAGGGTAAAAAATAGACCGCCTTCTTTGCGTGAGACCAGTTCTTGTTTTGACTTCAAGCCTGTATATACATGCTGGTAGATACTGACTTCATTTCGGGGTCTCTTGCCATGTCCCATATCTGGTCTTTCCATGAGCCTTCCTGTGCATCCCGCTTGTCCACAGCCTGTTGTAGCAACTTGCTGTATCTCGCCTCGATCTGCAACGTCGTCATGTCTGGAAGCGGTCTTCTAGATGATGCTATGGCCAAATATGGTGGTAGAAAGCACTTGGCTGGCAAGAACATCATCTTCCACACGGATTCTGCGCGTGCCTACAAGCTGAAGCTTCGTGATGTACTTGATGATAGCGTTGTACATAAGAAAAAGCGCGTCAAGAAAAATGGCAAGTGGGTTTGGACCAAGCCTACGTTTGTCAAGGTTGTGACGCATAAATTGCCAGGAGGCAAGAAAATTAAAGTAAAGGCAGGCACTCAACACATTGACCGGTGTTGGAAGTTTATCAAGGAGCATGTGTGTAAAGGCACCCACTCCCGTGCAGGCCTGAAGCGTTTGCATTTCAAAATCCGGGCGGCCCAGTACGAGTACTGGTACCGTGGGTCTGATATGTGGAAATGCACCGGGGATCTCGTGCAGGACCACATGTCAGGAATTGTTGCCCAGCCGTGACCGCATTTGTGCTGAACAAAAAGGCCCTTGCCATGCATATCCCAGGTTGCTGGAAAATCTTCACACAGCATCACTCAACAAAAAAACTTTCTGCAACTTCCCCCCATCTTCAAGGCACGCTAGGCCCCACATGAACAACTATATCTCCAAGATCCCTTCTGCTTGGTGGGAAACATTCAACAAAGAGGCATTCTGGAATCTTCTTGGCACCTCCAAAATCATAAGGTTAAATCCAAATACCAAACTTTTGCAAAACTCTGGCTGCTAGTTCCCAAATGAACAACTTATCTCAAGATTCCTATCGCCCAATGCACAATATGGTGACATGCAATTCAACAGACCAGACAAAAAAAACCTCAAAATATACCCCCAAAAAATGAATGCCAAAATATCATCAAACCACTGTAAATACCAGTGCAAGCCGAAAAAATGTGGACTTTTGGGGGGGTGGTAGCATATATATATATATATATATGGTACACCTCCCCCAATGATCTACCATTTTTGCTTGTTTCACGGTTGTGGATGTTCATCCATCAATTTGTTGAAACGGGAGTGCCATTTGTATATATACATATCTTATTGTATGCTAACTGTCGAGAAGCTCACTGCACAGCATTGGTTGCAGGGAAGTACGCGTACTGTACGCGTACAATGGTCAAACCAAAGAAGCTCACTGCACAGCATTGGTTGCAGGGAAGTACGCGTACTGTACGCGTACAATGGTCAAACCAAGAAACCAAGAACCAAGATTGCACACAGCTCTTGTCAGGAATCTTGGTTCGACAGTCAATGTGGATGACCTCCTGGGTCTCAAAGGACACACCCCAAACCAAGATTCATTTTCATAGGTCTGTGCAATCTTGATTCTTGGTTTCTTGGTCTGACCATTGTACGCGTACAGTACGCGTACTTCCCTGCAACCAATGATGTGCAGTGAGCATCTCAATCTTCTGTGCGGTGTTGTGTGAATTTTCTGCCATTCCAAAGGTGATGTGTCCTATTTTCCTTTTGTCATCTTTAGCGTTCATTAACAATCTGGTCATAATTGACCGTATGAATGAAGGAAGGAGTTTTATCACAAGTTATTTTCTTTGTTTGCTTCCCATTGTTTTCTTAAACACTTTCAATATATTAAGTTATACCTCTTATTGAAAAACATTTGTTGCCTTCACTTCCACTGTATACAATGTAAAACTAGATAATTTGCAAATGTACATGTCATCCCTGTAATGTTTCCAACTATCAAACTCATAAAAAACATGTAGGAATTTAGTCTGTGTAAATGCCCATGTAAAGGCTTTAGTCCTGTCAATCTCTATCAGTGTTGTTGTATCAATGTTTTTTAACAAAATAACCTGGTGCGACTATAGTCCTACAATGTTTTTATCAAAGTAACCACTTAATATATGGAAAGTGTTTAAGAAGACTATGGGAAGCAAACAATGAAAAATAGTTGGCCATAAAACTTCTTCATTCATTCATAAGGTCAACTATGACCAGATTGTTAATGAACTAAGGGAAACCGATCTTACTAACGATGACAAAAAGAATATAGGAAACATCACCTTTGGAGTGCTAGAAAAATCACACAACACCGCACAGAAGGGTTACGTTTTCACACTTTGAGTGGGGCTTGCCATTACCAGAGGGGGTTTGGAGGAAGGATTTGTGCCATACAACAAGAAATAGAAAAAGAAGAAACAAATCATGCAATACCCATTACATCTTAAACACCACCAATAGAAATGAATTAGTCAATGGGCTTAGAAATGTAAAAGAGCACCTTCTTCAATATCATAACTTTTTCAATGTATGAAGCATAAGAAACTTTCAGAAAATGAAATTAAGGTCTATTCAGTGGACAGCGATGCCTTCACGATCCATGAAAACGATTTGACCAGAGTGATGGGCAAACCAAATCATTTTATAAAGCCATATCAGACTGGAATATCCCACTTTGAAGAAGGCATAGGCAAGTGGAGACTGACAAACAAATCAACCATTTTTCAAACCAATAAGTACATATTTAGATATAATGACTTAATTGAAATTCAAAAACTAGACAATGAACCCATACAGGTGGTGGATGAATGGGACACCCCCGGAATATGTAAGCAAATTGGAAAACAAAACCCGTGCATGATCAGAGCAAAATTTGCTGGATCGGGCAAGAGTTACATAGGTCCGTATTTTAATAGGGTGCACAAACAAATTTTGTTTGTAGTGCCTCTTAACCGGTTAAGTCAAGAAATAGAAGGTGACACAACAACCTATAACATATTTTAAGAATACCAGGGTTTGATCATAGCAATTTTGATGTCATCTTCTTTGATGGAATCTATATGACCAATCTTTAAATTTAAAAACTTCTTACTGAAAACACAAGGACAATAAAATCATCATAGGCGCCGGTGATACAAAACAGTTCACGTGTTGTACCTGGCGATCTACGTGTTCACTCTACACAGGATGCGGTTGGCCGCAGATGGTAGCTTTCAACGGACGGCAAAGAACTTTGGTGTATTTTCCAAAGAACTTTGTTGGCATTTGAGGTGTACTTCATTCATCTTAAATCATGAGGAAATGTTAAAGTCAAGTTTGAAGTTTTGAAGTTCTGCTTTATGTCTATGTCCTCTACCCGCTTTGGGTTTGGCTCAGTGTTTTGAAGACTCCGACTCAGGATGCTTTGGCAATACTACAATAGCTTGGACTGGATGACCCGGCACTTGTTTCTGACTGACACCGCAGAGATGCTGAAGATGGCCGAATCGATGAAGAAGGAAAAGAAGCAGAACAAATGAAAAGAGTGCATCATTTTGTTGTACCTACCTCACTGCAGCTTGCAGCGCGTGTGTGGCACACCCCAAGTCTTTTTTGCTATGTTTTTGCTTTGACAGTTTACCTTTTAAAGCCTTTGGCTGGCTGCGGCGCCAGTTCCCAAAGATTTGTTGTTTGGAGACTGCACGATGGGCGCAATCTCTGTTTAATTTCTGGGCTTTCGTCTCGGACTCCTTCCGGCCGTCCAGAGTCCAAAGCGAAAGCCGAAAGCCTAAAGCCAATTACCAATTACTGCAATCGACCCAAAACATGCGAGTCATGTGAGTTGGAAGATTGTGGTTTTCACGGCATGTCAAAACGAACTTTTCAAAGACAAATAGTTTCAGTCTTTCAGGATTCAGGAAATCAAGAACTCAGTCAGTCATACAATCACACACTGAGCCTCTCGTTCCTCAGTGAAAACTGATTTTCATTTTCGTGGTTTAAGCACAGAGCGAGCGAGCGAATATAGTTTGGCGGCACTGTGAATCAACAGCCATGAGCAGCTCACATTGCTGCCGCGAGCGCCCCAAGAGTTCTTTGCTTCCAGAAAATGGGCGCGGGCCTTTAATGGTGCTGGCGTTTCACACTTAGACTTAGAGGCAGATTTGCGTCAACGCTTCTGGTGGCTAGCGCGACTGCATCCGAAAGATGGTTTTCCACATGGCAAGCCTAAGGCTACTGATTTGGAATTGGTCTTCCCAAAGAACCGGCGAGTGGCGCAATACGCGCGCAAGCTCGTGATTTTACAAAACATCGTCGTCGCACCTGTAGAAAAGTATTGGCTTCCAACCCTCTGGCTTTCGCAAATTTTACTAGAGGCGCTCGTGCGTTCACTGCGCACATGTAAACCTAGAAAACTTTCAGTGGACAACCATGACCATGGTAAAAGTTTCGGTTCAGGTGGGCAGTTATAGTTTGCGCCCTCGGACGGAGCCGCTTCTTAATCTTCACACCGGTTGGAGTTCTCACGTTGTGCCTTCCTGGCCATGTTTTGAAGAAGCTCCTGCCACCCGGAGTCTGGATGTATTTTTCCCAAAGCATTCCAGACTCGAAAGGGAATACGTCATGCGGTTCCCAGGTGCAAATGTCATGGGTGGTTTTCTCATGTTGCCTCACTATATACATCTGCTTGTCTTCTGTGACGCAGCTGTTTGGGGAAGTGTTCGGACAAACTTGCGTGTCTCGGTTTCGTGGAAACGTAGCCATGTCGGCCAACGCTGTTGGCGCCAACTTTGGTGGAGAAAGTGTCCTTGGGGCCCGTGGGGTCGATGTTGGAGGCACAGGCTTTGGAGGCGCTGTTGCTGTACCACCCCGTGATGAGCTCAAGGTTCTGAAATTCTGAAAGACAGTCGCAAGACATTGAAGCAGAGGGTGAAGCAGTTGACGAAGAATATCCGTCATGAGGCCTGTGAAAAAAAACTGTGACGGGAGTGGGAGTGTGATAGGAGGGCTGTCGTGGTTTTGGTCTTGTTGTGTAGCACGTTTGTGTAAGGTTACAGGTTTCTTGTTGCTGTTGTGTTGACTCCTGATGCAGGAGAGGACACGTCGCAGACTTTTGCAGAAAGCTGGGATTTTGACCGATCAGGATCTCCTCTGGCTCTTGCGACGCCAACAAGAGCATCGTCAATGAGAAGCCCTACGCACGCAGATTTCCTTCCTTTTCTTTCCACTATGTGGTACAGCCGCTCTACCTGCTGATGGGAAGGATGTTGATGCATGTGCTCGATTCACCATGTGCTCTGCATGCTTGTTTCACACGTCCATGGCGAAGCTATGGGCACAAGCTGATGTGATAAGACAGCGGACGAAATGAAACATGGAGAGTTCTTGACATCACCGCCTACATACTCATATGTTTCTCTCAGAATTTGCATGTCTTGGTGAATTGCATTTTTTATGACGCTGTACGTCTACGTTAGTCTTCAAGAGACTGGGAGGAGGTTTTTTGCACAGCTTGCCACACTGACACGCCCTTGTTGTATAATTCACCAGACTGACACACCGTTTGAGACGAGCCCTGGGATACAATGTTACGTTCTAGGTGGGCTGGGTTTGGTCGGGAGTGTGGGTCGATCGAAACGATCCCAAACAGCAACCTAACAAGCCTGCATAAAAGACCGAACAAATCCGAACAAACGAAAGAAAGTCAAGAGAGAAAGGGGTGCGGGGGTGCGTGAGGGGGTGATTGAAAGGCACGTAGCCACCTGTAACCTCCACCGGGTACAAATTTTAGACCCTGGTCCTATGTACTAAATTTAAGACTCTCACTTTGAGATCAGCCTGTTGGGACAAATCTGCCCCTCACAGTTTTGGCATGTTTTGGCAACTTTGAAAATCAGCGTATCCAAAAGGAAAACACATGAGCCCACACCCTGTATTGTTTCAGATCCATAATTAATCAACAGCACCGGTGCTTACCTCAATTTGAACAGCGTGCTATTATAAGCGGGCAGCTAGAGGAACCATGCGCACGAGTTTTGCAAACTCATTTTTTGGGGGGCGCAAAGAACGGCCTCAAATATTGCTTTATATTGCTGTTGTTGGAGTTCTTTGTCAGCAGTGTCCAAGGCATCTCTAGTAATCAATTTTTGGACCGGCCCTTCTCCCAAGCGCTCCCATTACAACGTAGAACTGGAACATTTTCTTTCCAGACGCGAAGGCAGGTCCGAAAATTAAACCGACCCCATGATGATGAAACGGTACTCTCAATCTTAGATTAATAGCTGCCTCTGATGGAAGGACGCTATACATAACGTTTTACATGGTGTGGGCTTGAATCCACCAGTCAACAATTCCATGAAATGGCGTGTTGGTGAATCAAACAAGAATCAGAATTCATATGAAGTGACCATACCATATGACAAAAAAAACACAAAATTCATATGATTAGGTTTGGCTGAGCAAGAACATGGTGGCCTGGTCCCAAATCAAACAATTCATATGAAATGGTTGTCTGCTGCATCAAAAAAACAGCAGTTCACATAAATTAGTCTCATCTTGTCACATGAGCCGATGAAAATGTTCATGGTGGTCTGGGAACATATGATTTCACTAGACCGGGCAAGTCTGCCCCTAGATCAGGTAAATCCGCCCCTAGACCGGGTAAATCCGCCCCTGGGCATTTCATGGTTTCCCAAACACGCAATTCATATGAACTCATGTTAGTTTACCCGCCACCTAATGCGAGCCATACAACTCATATGCATTGAACTGTTCCCCCATCGAAACATTAATTGACTGAAAAAAAATGATATCCTTTATTCAAAGTGGTCCACACCTTTTCCAGCCCTGGCATGGGACGATAGATCTAATATCAGCACGCTTGCAAAGTGAAACTGTTTTCAATAGATTCAAACCTCTTGTCACTTTTATGGAAAACAGTTTTATCTATGATTCTGCGCAAACAAATTTAAATCTACAGATTTGATCCATTGCACGGGTCGCCAAACACCACGGCGGAATAGCATGAATCATAAAGAGCGACAAGGACCTGCTATATATGTAAAAGTTGATGCAGCAGTAGGCATGGTTAAACCACAGCGAAAGCCTTGAATGAAAAAAATGAACCGTTCTGACCCGGTCACTCCATGGGACTGCCATAGGACTGCCGATCAGTTGGGGTAGTGGTGCCAGGGGAGTCTTTCTGGGGCGGCAGTCCTATGGCAGTCCCATGCGTCGTGTCTGAGTGGGCTGTCTTAGGCAGCTCCGGAGCTCCAACCTGCAGCGATGGCGTTCCTGAGGTGATGTCCGGCGCCATTTTGGGACCCACAGGCTACAAGGCCACCAAGGAGACGCTTGGTTTCGGTCGATATAGGTCTATGGGTCTGTATTTGAATAGGGGGACCTCCCAACCAATGGAATTTTGCGGTTTTGCCACTTATCGAAGGTTCGTTTTGAACCTCACTGGGACCCCCCAGATGTATATATATTATATATATAACCCAACCAATGGATTTAGTTTGGTTTTGCTATTGCCAGAGGTATTTAGGTGTTTCTCCATTCCAATGCATGCCCAATTTCGAATTGCCAAATATATCATAGGTCACGAAGCTGGGGAAAGGGCTTTCCACTCGAAGACGTGGAGTTCGTTCGGTTCACCTTTCTTTTCCAGGGATCTCTCCGGTTTTTTTTGTTGGTCAGCATTCAAATTGGTCGTGAACCAAAGGTGAAGTTTTTGTTTTGCGCAGCCAGCTGTCATGAGGAAAAGCAAGGTGCAGGCTGCGATGCAAACTTCCCCTGAGAGCAATTGAACAACAGACAAATTGAAGTTTGAAAGCCGGGAGAGGGAGAGAGGGAGATGTGAGAACAGAGGACAGTGAGGGAGGACGAAACCGTTTTTTCTTCAACATGACGATTGAACCAGATGTTGTAGGATGTGCTACCACGTGGGTGCTGGTAAGTATCGCGAAGAAGCATCCTCATCGCTTGGAGACCCCTCCGTACGGAGTGCACTGGTTGTTTGAAGATTTCCCTGCACAGAGCTGTACAGGTCAATAACCCGAAAATTCGGTTGCGCAAAAGTAATTCCTCACTTGAACAAAAAGGTTTCAGTGCAATACAACCGTACCACTCGAGATCAAGATCATATCCTCCAACATGGAAGTGGGAAGACAATCCCCGAAAGGACGACGGTTCTCCTCTACGAACCGGCTGTATTCCACGTAACCGGAGGTCGTTTCAGGGAGGGAGCTCTCCTGAAAACTCACATGGACTTGGTAGCACTTGGGGTCCGACCGTTGTCTTCTACACAACACGCATGGTGTCCATGAAGGGTCCATGAATTGCCCTTCTCCTGTAGGGTCATTCTCCTAAGACTCCCAGCAAGACAAACCCTTGAGCCCATATGCCCATATAGTGTGGACTTGCAGCCCAAAGCCTCATCCTTCCACTCCAACAAGTCCTTGCACGGCGACATATATGCAAGTGGAAAGCCGTGCAGCAATCGTCCCAAGGACCAAAAACGTCTCCAGCCATAAGACAGCCCCCAAAAAGGGCGCCCGCTCGATCACCACGCCTGTCCTCGGCAGTCCTCATACACCACGCCGAGGAATGTGGTGTCCTTGCAGATGTCTCCTGACTTCATCGGCTCCCCCTTCTATCCCAACGACGCGCCGGGCACGCCCAGTGGACGGAGACGTGCGTTTCACCACGGATGGACCGGCGTTGATGTCACAACGGATGGACCGGCGTTTGTAGAGCGACCAGCGTCGGAGGTGCTTTTTCTCCCCTGTCGTTTTGGACCGGGACGGACCAAAACAGATCATTAAGAGGTTGGATTGGGGCCACTTGCGGAACACTTTAATTGCTGTGGCCGGTGCCTTGGGCGCTTGCTTACGCCACGCACTGCTTCACGCATTCAGACCTCAGTCCTGAAGCTCCCGACTGGGAGTAGGATTCGGATCGGTAGAGCCCTCCCTTGAGCTGGTTAATGGCAGGCCCAATTGAAAAGCAATGGCTGCTGTAACTTATATAACCCATACTGAATACTTAACCCATACGTCATGAACAAGAACTGGTGCTATAGTCGGTGTTCATCATAGCAATAACTGGAAAGCCAGCCATGCTTAACCCCCAAAAAGACTCCGTACGAACTGGACTGGCTTTCAACATGTTTGGGCCAATGAACTCTTGAAAGGTAAACACCTCATTGGCAACATGGTTCCATTTCTGTGAAGGGGCACAATCACAAGAGCAGCCGGAAACACTCGGACTCGGACGAGGGACAAACCCAAACCCAATCTCATTGCAAGTAGTCTTCCATTTCAAGAATCAGATACCACCCGGGCTTGAGAAATTGTCCACATGGTGTCATTGACATAAAGAATCATTTTGTGGGATAGCAGATCATCATGGATCACTAAATCCATTTGCTTTGCTCAAAGGATTCAATACCAGGTCAAGATTAGACAACTACCGTGGTGAAGATGTTGCCGACTCATCGTAGATTCCTATTTAGACTGCTGATTCTAGACAGCAATCTCGAATCATGAAGGAGGTGCACTTCGCAGTGCCCAGAACGCACCACCGCCAAGTCATCCACATGTCCATTATGCCTTTTGAAGCCAATAAAACATACAGTAAGTCAACACATACATATAATATGTTATAATACTGCTGGTGTTGTTGTACCACACTGCCACCTATTTATGTCAAAGTGACTATACTAGCCAGTCCTAGATGTTCTAAGCCTTCCACAAGCTACTATTCCCTGATCCGGTCTGACCCAGCTGACTGATCCGCCAATTGGGCGGCCAGCCATGCAGCCCGGCGCGAGGGCGCGCGGCTGCTGCGCTCCTTTGCAGCTCCGAGTTGCGCGCCATGGGGGTGGGCAGCGACTTGGCGGATGAGCGCGGAAGGTATACTTTCTCCTTCTCACATGTCTTTGGATGCAGGATTCTAGACAGGAAAGTCTACTTTCCCAGATGTTTGGGAACGTTAATTCTTTTAACAGGGCGCCTTCTCAGTTTCAATGCCCAAACACTCCATGGGGCTGCCATAGGACTGCCGCCCCAGAAAGACCCCCCAAACCACCCCACCACCCCTGGCCGTTTCTCGGCAGTCCTATGGCACCTTCATGGGTCGTGTCTGGGATGTCTTGGGTTCTTCAGTTCTTCATGTCATTCTCAGATTCTGTGAGACTGTGAGCCGTCCAGTGTGGATGACCGACCCCAGCCTGTCCGAAAGCTTCTAGAAGAAGACACACACCATCACACACCTCTTTCCTCCCATAATATAAGAACCTGAGTGATGATATGTATTTTGATATATGTTTTTAAGTTATAATAGCCTGAGTGATCTGTATAATAGCCTCAGGTTCTTCCCCCCATCCCACGTAATATATGTGTTCTCTTCCCATCTCGGGACCCCAAAACGGACCGACTCCCCCGGCCCTTCAGCAGCTTCACCGACCCCACAGGCCACCGGTGCTGCGAAACCTCAGATCCCGGCATCAGCTACTCCCGCGCCGCTCGGTCGCCAGCGACCACGTCGTTTCGGAGCCACACCGGTGGAGCCGCCGGGGACGGTTCAGCCGAGGTCCGGGGAGGTCCGGGGTTGTGTGTTACATGGGATCCAGGTAGGAACCCTTATTACCTCATGGTTCGGTGCGACTGGACCCCTCCAAACCTATTACATTGATCATGTCTCCGAGTCTCCTTCTGAGAAGGTACGACTGGATTTTCAGGGTGTGTTGAGGAGGCCCGGTTGGGGGGGGTATTTGGGTAGGATTGTGCTAAATAGGCGGGCGGTCGACTGGGGCATTGAGTCGGGTTATTAGACGGGCCATGACCGGCCGACCGGTGTGGCCTAGGGCCTCATGGCATGTATGTTCTTGCGTAGCCGGTGGGCTAAGGACTAACCGGTTAACCATGGTTAACCTATGCAAACCTGTACACTTGAAACTGGTGAATTCCATGCACATTGGGATCTTGGATATCTTGGAATCCGAGAGTCATTGTTTTGCTGGCCTCCGCAGTCATCTAGGCAGATGGGTTGCCTTTTTGACAGTTTTGGGTTCTCCAATTCACGTCCCGAGAGGCAATGATGCCAGAGGATGTGTGTCCCTTAGGGGAAAGCTTGATTGTGCTACTCTGCTACTCCTGTGTTTGATATGAGAGTCATCATAAGGTTAAGAACTCTACCGAATCGCAAGGGCGCACTGCACATAACACAGGTCCTTGGATCTTGGTCAGATAATTCTCTTAGTTCCGTTCTTGTTCCATGTTCTGTGCCTGACAGCCAGCTGCACTCGATGGCTTTGCCATACCTCCTCAAAAGAGAAAGCTCACACCATTTGTTTGCTTTGCGTTGCTTGCGCCCGGCCAAGCTGCAAAGCATGGCTAACCTGACAACCCCTTCAACATGCAACACCTAGTCCCCCAAGGAGGGAAGCTATTATCAAATAATACTTGTGGTGTCAGTGCTGGGCCATGGAGTTTCCAAAATTACCCTGCTGAAAACTAACATGGAACCATGAAAACCACTGGCGCAGCTATAGGAAAACAGTCGGACTCAGGGTGCAAGTCTCGACCCGGGTCCATGTTAGTTTTCGGGAGTGTAAGATAGATAAGTGTTTAACATTCCTGGGCCCCATAAACGGTCCATTTGGTTGGTACACGAGCTGCTCGTGTTCGGTGGGCATACCACCTCGCTTTGTAGCATGAACTACTTTGGACCCCAAAAAGCCTCATCCTTCCAACACCTGCCAACAAAATCCAACAAACACCTCAAAGACATATTTTCCCTGGTGGACGCCCTGGAAGTGGTGCTTCAGGAACCCAGCAGGAAACCAGCAGGAGGTGCTGGCGTTGTCCTGCCGAGGTGAACCCCCCCCCCGTCGGCTCCCTGGGGGCGCATGGGTCCCAAACGCGACCAGCAGCTTCATGTCGGGGTCACGTGGCAGGTTTCGCCCCAGCCCACTATCCGGGACCTCCAGATAGGACACCTCTTGAAGGTCCAGGTGTGTCCAATCCCTTCCACCAATCCCCCACCTGAATCAGGCATGTCGGACGTCCGCGGTGACCGGTCCCACCAGGAAGGGACGAACATCGTGCCCCTCTTTGGTGATCTTGATGCATCTCCCACCGGGTCTTTGGAAGAGCTCATGCTGAATGAGGGCATTCAGAGGCTACTCGTCGACTCGTTGGTGTGGGCGGGTCTGCGTGTTTTCTTTTGAGGCTCACAGCTTGGAGCTTCGGATTTCTATGAACCTTGCAAGGTTCAAGACGACCCACGTCATCATGGTTGATGCAGACGATCAATCCATGTTTGGCTTTTGTCAATGCCAAGTTGGAGAGACCGCAGGCGGGGCCCCCATGTGGGGACTCCAAGTAATTGGGGGGAGACGTTTGGGTACTTGTTTTCCAAGCATTCCGATGAAGCAAGTGAATGGATCCAATTTACAAATGGTGACAATTCGCAGTGCCAAGCAGGGTTGATGGACAGTCGTTGACATCGCAAACGAGTTCTTCTGGGTCAGGACTGGGTTTTTGACGTGACGAAGGTGCCACACCCATCGCGCATTTGCGCCTGAGGATGACCTTTGAAGAGAAGTATTTTTGATCCAAATACCGCAAACAGGGTGGACTATGGTAAACGGACGCTGTGGTCGTCCCAAGCAAAACTGGCTTTGCATCTCCTCCTGCATATCTGTTTGATGTTTGTGCAGCTTTGTATTGGCACCAAGGCCTCCTTCAGATCCCTTTCATTTGGCTGCAGACACAGAGGCTCGGCCACGCACACTATATATGGACATATATTATATATATATATATATTGCGGAGACACGAACCCTCACCTAAGGGCTACAAGTGGGCTCTTCTTTCCACGGCCTGAGCATGAAGGTCCCTGTCGTGTCACGGGTGGACATCAAGACTGCTATAACTTCTAAAATTCAACGAAGCTCCATGGATCGTCATCCTTATCCGAAGGATCATAGCCATCAAAGGTTGGAAACTTCCTGAGCAGTCTTTTCGGCAGCCATCTCACTGCCGTCACAACGTCACCAGCCTTTCAGGACTTGAACCGGCGAGGCACGGTCGAGTTTGGGAAGCGATCCTCAGCCGATTCGAATGCCTCAGCGTGAGCTGAAAGATACATCACAAGGTCTTTGACCGGAGCTGACAAATTCGTGCGATCCTTTTGGCCGATCAACCATCGAGTGTAGCTGATGAGCTCGGTATCGGAGGATGTGGCCAACTCTTCATAGCTCATTCCACGCTTGGACAGCTTTCCGCACTCAATGAGGGTCTGGCCCCAATGCTGCAAGGACACCACTCCCTGGGGTAGCTCCAGCTGACGAGTCACCCCGGATGACTTGGCTTTGGCCTTTGCCAAAGGAAGCTGAGAAAGCTCCGGAGATCGGCTTGGAGAAGGGTTCAACCGGCGCTTGGATGAATCGTTCATAGACCCTCCATGCTGATAGCCGGATTCGGACACCAGCTCAAACTCTCCATGCTCATATTGAATCAGCTCATTCAGCAGCTCATGTACTGAGCCTTCATCTTTCACCTTAGCCAGCAATTCCTTAGCGGCTGCGGACAATTGCGACGACGAACCAGCCATTTGGCCAGGAGGAAACTGCCAACAAAATCTCGAAAGGACCTATCGTGA